GTGGGCTCTTGTATCGAGGGGGATGATGGGGATCACAGAAAAATTTAGAAGCAACAAAACATGTTTATAATTCAATCAGCTAATCAGTGGCTAAATAAATAGCGGTACTCCTACAAAAAAAAAAAAACCATGTTTATGGATGTGCAATGACCAAAAAAAAAAAAAAAATCAAAATCCATCACCTAAGTGAGTCCCCAAAGTGAAGGTGCAGCAGACACCAGCTGTGTATCTGAGGAGGCTCTCTCCAAACCAGAGTCTGGAAACGGCCGAGCATTAAACACGTGAGCGACCCGACTTTCTATCTCCTTGTAATCAAAGATTTGACTAGGAGTGAATGTTTTGATGTTCTACCAAAGAAAAGACAGAACAACACAAAAAGGCAGAATAATACAATAAGTGGCTATTTCCCATATCTAAAATATTCTAAACACAGAAACAAAAACAGTCTGTGAACTTTAAGACCAACAGTGGTAACCAAAAGAAAGTGGGCAGAGAGCTGGCAGGTCGGAACACACAGGGGCAGACATAAGATCAGTCTAAATTTCAGTGCAGACTTAATGTTGTTTTTTCAGTGATGCACCCTGAAACACATATAATGCTATGTTGCAATTTATCCGATGATAAAACTAATTGAAAATAATAAATCAAGCACCGTAAATTACATATTTTTTCCATGAAGATGCTAAGAGGCATATTTGAAATGTGCTCCAGGTAATTAGCTAGCAGCACTAGTAAACAATAGATTTTTATGCCATTAGGTGGAATAGGCAAGGAACAGTTTTTAAATGCCCATTTTACCATGGAAAATAAAATGTGGTTTTGGGTACATTTTCCTGATTTTCTCTTTGTTTATCATCCAGAGCTCTAGCAGTGATCTCTTCATGCATATAAGGCAAAGAGATGGTTTACTTACCAAACAGACTGAAAACGTCCCACATAAACTTAAATCAAAACTTATAAAAGAACCTAAGCTATAGCATCCTGTCTACCTACAAATCAGGCGTGTTTAAAACATTCTATTCATGTAAGATTATACACAGAGCTTTAAGCTGCAGAGAGAGGGTACTGACGTCCAGTGATCCAAATTTCTGAGGTTTAAGGAAAAAACAACAAAACAAAATAAAAATTTGTGTTTGTTTTTATCTAAAACATGCTTCTGAAAATTTGAAATACCGAGAAAAGAAATGCAAAACAAAAGTTACAAACTAACACTGGACTATGGGAAACAACAGAAATTATCAAACAAATCTTAAAACATTTGAGTATTTGCCTCAATACAATAGACTGTATTGAAAGTATCCAGCCTGCAACTGCAGCTTGTCATGAAAACAGGTGTCCAAGAGAAGGTCACTTGATCTCAGGCAGCCTGGCTTTGGTAATTGATACTGACACTGAGGCCAGGAACTAGAATTATGCCTTAACTAGGTCCCTGAACGGACCACAATCTTTTCAAGCTGCTTTAGCAAATATGCTATGTTAATTACTGTTACGTGATCCGAACATGAAGTAATCCCTATTCTTATTAACTTCCCTAGTAAATGAAGCTTTAATGCTTAACTGATTGCAAGTTCGGGGCTAATCTAAAGCAATATAAAATTTAATAGATGAAGACACAATTAAGGGATGGCTATTCATGTAATTCACATAAAAGATATTATTTCGCCTTCAGGAAGATGGTGCATAAAAATTAAATCCTGGTACAGTATTAAATCTGAAACCGAGGCAGGTGGAGATGGCAAATGTAATCTGGATCTTCCCATTTTATCCATGCTCATTTTTTTTTTGTTTTTCTTTTTCTTTTATGGCAGGAGGAGGGGTGTGTTGGGGCACATGTGGCCCTGCTCAGGTCTTGTCCTGCTTTTGTACTAAGGGATCACGCCTGGTGGCACCTGGAGGACCATGTGGTACCAGGGATTGAACTGGAATCAGCTGCATGCAAGACAAGGCCAACAATTCCTTCAAGCAGGCCCGGATGGCCATACTAGTAGCCAACAACATAGATTTCAGGCTGATGAAGGTTAGAGGGACAGCAAAAACCATTTTTGAAAATCAAGGGATGAGTACATTAGGAAGAAATTGCCATCCTAAACATATATACACCCAATGAAACAACTGCTAATAGAATTCACAATAGTAGCTGGAGACTCCAACACTGCCTTGTCCCCTCTCAATAGAGCAACAAGACTAAAACTCAACAAGAAAATACTGGCTTTGAAGAAAGAAATAGACAAGGGAGGGCTAGTGGATATATGCAGGGCTTTTCATCCCCCAAAAGCAAATACACATTCTTCTCCAGTGCACATGGAAATTCTCCAAGACAGATCACATGCTGGGCTACAAGGCATACCTCAGGAAAATCAGGAAAATACAAGCTGTATTTGAACTATCTTTTTTTTTTTTTTTTTTTTTTGCTTTTTGGGTCACACCCAGCGACGCTCAGGGGTTACTCCTGGCTCATGCACTCAGGAATTGCTCCTGGCAGCGCTCGGAGGACCATATGGGATGCTGGGAATCGAACCTGTGTTGGCCATGTTGGCTGCGTGCAAGGCAAACGCCCTACCCGCTGTGCTATCACTCCAGCCCCTGAACTATCTTTTTAGACCATGATGCAGTGAAAGTAGACGTTGATCACAAGTAGTGCTGGGAAAACTGGACAGCTACATGTAAAAAAAAAAAATGAACTCAGACCTTTATAGTCATGCACTGTAGTCTGTTCAAAATGGATTAAAGGTCTCAATATCAGACCTGAATCTTTAAGGTACATGGGGAAAAAGTAGGAAAAAATCTTCAAGATATTGAAGCTAAAGGGATCTTCAAAGATGAAACGACACTAACAAGCAGTTGGAGCAAAGATAATCAAATGGGACTACATTAGACTTCTGCACCTCAAAGAAAAGAAACAGTGACCAGGATACAAAGAAAGCCCGCGGAATGGGAAAGGTTAATCACCCCAAACCCTTTGATAAGGGCTTACTATCAAAGACATATAAGGCACTGGTTGAACTCTACAGGAAAAAACCCTTTCAACCCCATCAAAAAATGGAGAGAAGAAATAAACGAAACTTTCTTGAAGAGGAGATTCAAATGGCCAAAAGGCACATGAAATAATGCTCTTCATCACTAATCATCAGGGAGATGCAAATCAAAACAACAACAAGATATGAACTCAAAATCAGAGACTGGCACACATCAAAAAGAACAAGAGCAACCAGTGCTGGCATGGATGCAGGGAGAAAGGAACTCTCCTTCATTGTTGGTGGGAATGCCGACTGGTCCAGCCTTTTTGGAAAACAATTTGGACATTCTTCAAAAAGCTAGAAATTCAGCTCCCATTTGATTCAGAAATACCACTTCTGGGAATATACTCTGGGGGGACCAAAAAACGCACAGCAGAAACACCATCTGCACATCTATGTTCATTGCAGCACTCTTCAAACCAGCCAGCATCTGGAAATAACCTGAATGCCTGAGGCCAGATGACTGGATCAGGAAAATATGGTACAGCTACATAATGGAGTACTATACAGCTGTTAGGAAAAATGAAGTCAGGAAATCTGCCTATTAATAGATGGATATGGAGAGTATAATACTGAGTAACATGAGTCAGAAGGAGAGGGGCAGGTATAGAATGACTGCACTGATTTGTGTTTTATGAAACAAACAAGCAAAGTATGTGACTAAGAAAGCAAGTGCCGAAAGGGCTGGTCAGTGCTTGGAATCTACTACAAGTGTGTGGGGGCAGAGGATGAGTAAGACAGAGAAGGAGCCAGTGTGACAATAGTAGTTGGGAATGACCATGCTGGATAAGAACTAAGTGTTGAAAGCAGGTAAAGGGATAAATGTGATGACCTTGCAGTATCTGTATTACAGACCACAGTGCCCCAAAAAGAGGGAGGAAGAGGGGGAGGGGGGAGGAGGAGAAAGAGTGCCTGGGGACACTGGTGCTGGTAAATATACCCTAGTGGAGGGACGGGAGTTGTGCCGCTGTGTGACTGAAACCCAACCATGATCAGCTTTGTCATGGTCTCTCTCTGGGTGATTCAATTTACATACACACACACACAGACACACAAACACACGCACACACACGTATGCACACACACACATACGCACGCACGCGCGCGCAACAGGCCTGAATACTATAGTACAGAGAGGAAGGTGCTTACCTTGCTTGTGGCTGAGCTTGGCTGGATCCCTGGCACCCTATACAGACCCCCAAGCCCGGTCAGGGGTGATCTCTGAGCACGGAACCAGAGACCTGGGTGCGCCCCCTCCCCACCCCAAAAGACCCAGAGACACACCTTAAAGAAGTGGGCTGTGAACTAAACAAGAAAATATTTAAAACAGATGTTAAGACAATTATATCCTTTAAGCTTAGGTATTTGAAAACCTAATTGTTTACCTACAACCCATTCATTGTTCTTTAATTTACAATTCGTCGTCGATTGCCTCCAGCAGGCCCCAGTGATGTCTCCTTCATCCTAGCCCTGAGATTATATTCAAGGATCCTTAGGAGAATGAGACCCATCATTGTTACTGGTATTTGGCATATTGGGTACGCCACGGGGAGTTTGCCAGACTCTGCCGTGTCTGATTCTTTAATTTACAGCACTAATTTTTAAAATCTAAGTCAAATCCTCACCGTTAAAATTTCTTCAATAAGGGAGTTGGGAAATATTACACTCAGGGTCCTTCTGAGTCATAAATGCTTTTCTTCTTTGAAAATCCACATTAAATTGTAATATCCTTTCATTCTAATCAGAATCTATATATCAGTTATTTTTAGTTTTTTCACAGAGCCCAGAATTACTGTCTGGAAAGTTTAACTAGACACATCATCCTCCACCACAATCCTACGTTACAGAAAATGAGAAAACAAGAGAATATATGTGCATATCCATCTACCTCCACAGGCCCTCCACAAGCATCCTCACTAATGACATCTCAGGTGTCTCACAGTATCCCGAGGGCAAGCAACAGAGAAGCGGAGGGCTGCGCACCTGATGACTTGGTCGCAGTGGGCGCACATGGGCGTGCGCTTCCCCGCCGGGATGTGCTCAGCTCTCTGCACCAGCGTGTCCTGCTCGCTGGGTGGGGCTGGGCCCCCCGTGGAGCTGGCAGGGCCAGCCGCTCCCGCTGAAGGCACGTTGTTGGAGATCCTCCCCGTGGATGGAGCTGGAAAAGAGAGAGGGTGGGAATGAGACTCTGGGAGGCGACCGAGGCTTCCTAGTCGTCGGGTGCCAACGTAAGGCTGGCATACTCCCTCCCATGAGTCTGAGGCCAGAGGTCGACAGAAAGGGGATGCCAGGGCTCTCGCACAGAGACAGAGAGGACAGCTCCAGGTACAGCACACTTCCAAAGAGCACTGAGGCTGGTGAGCACCCCTGCTCGCCCTCCCGTGGCTTCATGGTCCAACACATCCTGGGCTCGTGAAAAGCAAAAGCCCCAAAGTGCTGGGGCACTAAAGGCCAAGACTGACTCCACATTCTCTTTCTCCCGGTCGCTTCTAAGCAGGTGGTGTAAGCCAGGCGCCCGGTCAGCCAGGAACCACCGTTCTCTCCCGCTTCGTAACCAAGGCCATGCTGAATTTCCGCCGCGGCAGTTGCTGACACCCTCTCCAACCCCTTTCTGAAGGAGTCAGGGCCTCAACGCCGGCACATGAACCGGCCACCAAAAGAGCCTTCCAACTTACATTCATCCTTCCAACTGCTCCTTTCACCCATCTCTGACCCGGCCACAGTTCTGCAGAAACCGGCCCACGGCTTTCCCTCTGACAGCTCACAGCGACTGCAGGATCCCGCCACACACTTGCTGCACACACGATGCTCTGGGGGTCTCCTGGCCCACCAGCGCCCGCTCTCCACCTTCCAGCTATGCTCCAGCCCAGCCCAGGGGCCCCGCTCTCACGGGAACGGGCTGCTCACTCCGAGCTGCCTCCACTGTCACTCTCCTGCCTGCTCAGGCTCCTCTTCCTTCACACCCACAGGCCTTCCCTCTCCTGACTCAACCTTAGCCTCGCGTCTCAACCATCGCAACTCTCCTCAAGTGTCTGGTTTTTGTCACTACCTTAACCTATTCTGCTGAAGATTTTCCCATCTATCTTGTCCCATATTTGCTCTTAGACAGAGTTTCCAAATTCCTCCACTGCATGTGCTGTGCAATCTAGTCTCTTTATGCTCTGTCACCTCAAGCCTGCGGATCATTTATGCTTCACCACCATCAAACCAGAATTGTACTTGGGTCACTGTTATCCGACACTATTCCCAAATCTTTTCAGCATTTTGCACTGACCGCAGATAGTCTGGCATCAGAGACTTAGCTCTGTGCCCTGGTCTGGGCACTGTCCCTCAGACAACTGGGCCAGGCCTGCTTCTGCGGACTCAGCAACTCTCTCTCTCTCTCTCTCTCTCTCTCTCTCTCTCTCTCTCTCTCTCCTCTTTCTCCCCTCTCCTGTCTCTCCCCCCGCCCATTCCCTCAATATGCCCCATTTTCTGTATGTAATGCTCTATGTAAAGTTCTCACAGAACTTTCTTCTGCAAGTTCCATTTCTACCCATCCTTGCAACAGGTGTTCTTTTGCTCCAACCCATAAACTTTCTAATTTAGTTACTATTTATCAATAAATCTCCTATGCAATCTTTCCTTTAGACAGCGATAAACTTTTTCACATGAGAAAAATGATCACCTTTAAACCCCCAAATGCCTTACAAACAGAAAGCCAAAAACAGTTGAACAATTAAATGAAAATTTCAAAATTCCAAATAACCTTCTTCTTTTGAAGATTCCCATGAAGATGTTTTTAAAATGTGGATTAGATTAAGGACTTCAAATAAGGCGAAAACTACCAAGTGAAAAATCTGAAAGTCAGATCTTAGAGTCAAAATCCTTTTATCTCCCATATGTCTATATTTTATCAAATTATCTCTCTCTAAGCCCTTAACATACTGAAGTCATTGAGAACATTTTTAGCAATGAACGGACTAATTCTCCATCAGTCACTGTAAAAGGGGACGGGATCCATCTGGCCATGTCTCCGGGAAAAGGAATCTAAGCAAGCGGCTCGCTGAACACAGGAGTCAGTCCTGATACGAAGCCCGTGGCTGTGCCCAAGACACTGCAGAAGGCCCGGGGGCCCACGGCTCCTTCTAGAAGGGAAGCTGCTCTCTGCTACTGCACCACTGTCACAGCTCAGGATGAACCGGAATTCTCACACCTGTTTTGAGACACACACACTGGCCCATACACAAATGACACAAGCCCACCAACCCCAGTCATTTCCCGTAAGAAAGAAGTGAGGTTTCAATTCTTAAGACTGAATTCCCCCTATTCCAGTAAAGGGAGGGGAACTTTGGAGCAATCTTGTGCCAGCCCTGAGCTCCTGACTTGGCTAAGGGGGAGGGGGAGTAGGAAGGTGAGGCCTGGGGGCGGGCACCCCCAAAGAGCCTGGCTGTCTTTGCATTTTGCAGACGGTAGATGTACACAGAGAAGAGTAGGGGTCATGTGGTGCGGGGTTTATTTATATGTTATTACCAAAACATGCCAGGTTTATTTCATCATGAAAATGCCTGCTTTTATGTGGACATCTCTTAAGCGAGAGCAGTTTTACGATGACCACCTCATTATTCTGTGATGAAAATTTCCCACAGTACTTCTCAGTTCTAGAACAGGTCTTCTTCAACTGTTTCCCATTCCTGACTCCCTTTGTCCCAGGAAAAGGCCCCCCATACAGTCTCCTGAGCACAGCCAGAAGTAACTTCTGAGTGCAGAGCTCAGAGTGATTTCTGAGCACTGCCAGGCGTGGCCAGCAATATAGATACATAATTGTGGACCTACTACACTCACATACTCACTAAGGATAAGGACAGATTTTGGAGCATTGGAACTTTCAATACACATTATTGTGCAAACTCTAATTTCCATAAGTGTTTCAATGACTTTGGAATTAAGATAAAGAAGCAGAGAATTTATGGCAGTACATCTAGAAAAACCAGAGAATGTTTGGTGTTTCCAAAATGAATCCTGTATTTCATCCCTATTACACTTAGAATAATGCCCAACCCCTAAGAATGAAAACTAATACGGGCAGTGGGACGCTGGAGCGATAGCACAGTGGGTAGGGCGTTTTCCTTGCAAGCAGCCAACATGGCTGACCCGAATTTGATTCCTTCACCCCTCTCAGAGAGCCCGGCAAGCTACAGAGAGTATCCTGCCCACACGGCAAAGCCTGGCAAGCTCCCCGTGGTGTATTCGATATGCCAAACACAGTAACAACAAAGTCTCATGATGGAGACGTTACTGGGCCTGCTCGAGAAAATTGATGAACAATGGGAGGACAGTGACAGTGACAGTGACAGTGACGGGCAGAGTACAGGGCGCTTGCCTTGCAGTAGTCAACCCGGGTTTGAGAACAACACTCCATATGGTGACCCGAGCCCACCAGTATGGACCCCTGAGTAAGGCCTGAGCACCACTGGGCATGGGCAGCCCCTCTGTCCCCCAAAAGACAAATATTCATGCTTTCCAAAGAGAATCCTGGGTAAGGTCTGTGCGTGAGAAACAAGCGCTCCTATTCCACACACTGATCCCAGTGCTGTGAGTTCATATAAATAGCCGCCACATCAAAGTGACATGACACTCCCCGGGAGATCAAGAACTGTAATTCAGCACTGCAGAATTCAGAAATGACACACACTGCACTGGGTAACAGGACACAACATTTGCACGACTGTGTGTAGCAAGTGCTTCTTCCTGGGCCCCTTCCAACCCTCAAACAGATGGTCAGTAGAAGAACCGAATCTCTGAACGTTCTCTGTCAAGCTCTTGGTGTTGTCAGCAGAAAAGAGTCTGCTCTTCTTAACCCAGACATGAAACCATATCCAGTGGATATAGAGAAGCTCTAAAGCTAGGCCAAAATCCAGGATCAGAGGAGAGTACATTCTGAAGTTCCGTACAGATTTTATTGAAAGGAGTCAAAGATTACTTTATTCCATGATTAAAAGCAAAATTGAAGAGATCAGACCACTGTCATTTCTCTAAGAGGTGGAGAATGCTGGTATGTAGCCATGCGGACTAGGAACAGGTGCACCGAAGGCTAAGTATCAAGCGTTTCTGCAACTTTATGGGGGTCGTTTCTTCCATTAGCAACCCGCCTTTCAACTCTAAGAACCCAGATTAAACTGGATCTAGAGTGTCTTAATCAAAGTGAGCGTGGGGGCACGGGCTAGATTCAGTTCTTTTTAAATCCTGGTATCGACATCATCGACATTTGGCATCCCCCGTCTCGCACTTTTCTCCCTATAAAACGTAGAAAATCCTATGTAGAAAACTTCCATTTAGTCAGATTAATGAGTAAAAGAAACCTGGAAGTAAAGCCTTAATACATATATCTGGTAGTGCTATCAGTCAATTAAAAGTTTATTTCTTATGACCTACCCACATCTTCTAAATATCCTCGACATCTCAATTTTTAATTTTACAGTGGAAAAGCAAGTCATGCTCCAATTGTAGATCGACAAGAAAGGGCTTTTTCTTTGAAAAAAGGATTGAATAAGACAGGTTTTTTTGGAGAAAGAAAAAACTAGTGTAAATGTTTTTTTTTTAATCCAAGGAATAATGCTTTCAGGAATATTAAGCGGGATCAATATCAATTAAGGTCACGATACCCTAATCTTAGGGTTGAGCTTCAACACTGCAAAGGCTCCAACATGGAAATAACGGACAATGAAAGGACATTTAGAAGAAAGGGGAAAAATATTAATGGCTATTTTACTTATTCTGAGACATGATTCTAAAAAAAAATTTTATTTGTTCTATAACAAGTTTATTTTCATAAACTTGTTTCACACCACAGTCTCAACCACCAGCAGCTCGAGTCAGACTTTCCCAAGAGTGTACTGTTGAGCTAAGGGTGTCAGAATGCAGGGAGCAGAGGGCAAGAGAACATTGTTAGATGAGACGAAACATACACAACTGGGAACACTTACTAATTCCTGTAAAAATTTTGGAATGGGACCAATAAATCCATCCATCTAAGCTAAGAAGATCTAGTGATCTCAATTTATTAATGGAACATGATGCTTACAGTAAAATTTGGGACGTTTGTAGAAACGGTAATTTTCTTTCTCACCCTTATCTCCGTTAGACTTCAAATAAAAGGCAGAATTTATTTCCACTTAA